AATTTATTTGAAATCTTTTATTTAATTTATCATTTCTTATTACTATTACTACTACTGAATATATATTGAAAATTTTAGAACTATATATATTATTATACTATTTACATATATACAATTTAAGGTTAATTTTTAACAAATTCGTCCTTAAATTATATTAACATTTACGAAAACTAGGAAAATATAAAAGGTCATTAAAAAATTTAAAAGAAAGAATTTTTACAAAAAGGTCATTAATTACAAAGTAAAAAATATGCAAAATTTATATATTAACATAAATATTACTCAATAAAATTATAAAAGAAATCATTCAGTGGGCAATCAAAAAAATTTATTTTTAGTTCAAGGGGATATTAAGGAGCCATCAAAAAAAATTTTTTTTGCTTCAGGGGGCTATTCAAATTTTTGAGGGGGCTTGAGCCCCCGCGCGCTCCTCCCTAGCGACGCCACTGGTACAATATTGCTGTTTTAAGCACTAATTATAATTGGAATTTTTAACTTTAATAAAGTTATTTGAAAATATTTTCTATTAAATATAATTTTTAAACAAACAACAATTTTAAAATATCAATTCGTTTATAATAGGTGAGAGTTATGAACAAACACATATATATATATATTAATGCTTTGGCTATTCATTAATTAAACCATATATAAACAGAAGCTAGTTGTATACTAATTTAATTGTATTGATCATTCAAATAATGCATTTTAATGTCATTCAATCAGCGTGCTAACCACAAAATGGTTTAAAGCAGGCTTCTATACATGTAAAATTTAAATGCATCCTTCATTCCTTCCTTCCTTCCTTCCTTCCTTCCTTCCTTCCTTCCTTCCTTCCTTCCTTCCTTCCTTCCTTCCTTCCTTCCTTCCTTCCTTCCTTCCTTCCTTCCTTCCTTCCTTCCTTCCTTCCTTTTTTCCTTCTTATTCATTAGTTATGAATAGGTGCATAACCAAGGGAGAGGGATTTCTCCCCTTATCCCAAATTAGTTTGTTATATATGCCACACCTCCTTCTTAGTGTTGTTAATTGGTTGGTTGTATAAAACCAGACCCGGGGTTTGGGTCTAAAAAATCGACCAAACCAGCTCTGAGCACAGACCCGGGGTTCAGACCCGGAGTCCAGACCCGGAAGACCCGGGGTTCAGACCCGGGGTTCAGACCCGGGGTCCAGACCCGGAAGACCCGGGGTTCAGACCCAGGGTTCAGACCCGGGGTTCAGACCCGGGGTTCAGACCCGGGGTCCAGACCCGGGGTTCAGACCCGGGGTTCAGACGGGGTTCAGACCCGGGGTTCAGACCCGGGGTTCAGACCCGGTGTTCAGACCCGGGGTTCAGACCCGGGGTTCAGACCCGGGGTTCAGACCCGGGGTCGTGTCGTGTAACGATTTAATAAACAAGTTAATAAATAAATATTTTTTATTGCAATAATAATAATGACTGAAAGAGGGCAGGGCGGGTCTACTAGGTCTTGGGGGGTCAGGAATAATTTATCAAAACAAAATATCGATATATGGGTAAAATATAATCTTCTAAACTAAATATCTTTAAATTGAAAGTATTCATTTTTTATCTTGATGGGTTTAAATTAATTGGTTTTGGAGGTGGATAGGGTAAGAGGGGGGGTGAAAGTGGGGGGGGGGGGGTGAAAATTAATATTTTTTTATATGGAAATAAAAATATTTTTTTGTAATGATAATAATAATGATAATGATCACTCATACAGGACGGGTATAGGTCCTGGGGGGGGGGGGGTCAGGTATATTTTTATTAACACAAAATATCGATATGGGTGTTGTTTAATTGGTTGGTCTTGGTTGTGTAAATCCCAAACCCGAGGTGGGTCTAATAAAATTACTGCGATCTAAATTAGCAATATTTATATAAGAAATAAGCCAGCATTAACTCGAGTCGAACCCCATAAATAATGTTGTTTCAAATATTTTAATTAAAATTATTTATCAATAATATCGAACTTAAATAGGAAAATCCTGCAAGCAACTCAGCTTATGACTAAAAAATTTTTAATCGGGGACTCTTAGTCTTAGGGCTTGGAAATAATAAAAATGAATTATTATGTAGGTTTGCTTATAGATTATTTCTATACCTTCCTGATCTTAGTTCAGAATTAGATACGAACTTTCTGACCGGATTTTTTATATTTTAAATATTTTTTAGGTATATTTTTATTTAAATCAAATTTTAAAAATAAATTTATTTCTACTAGCACTTCACCCCCATTTAGTATATATATATATATATATATAAATATATGCATGTTTCTTTCACGTGGACAAAGCCGCGAAATCAAAATAAAATATTTTTTTAAAACCAAGCTTAATAAGCTGACATTAAAATTAATAGAAAAGAAAAACTATTGACGATATTATATTTATAACTAAGAAATGAAAAATAAATAAAATAAAACATTTGCAATTTATAAAAAAAATTAAATCAATTTATATAGTTTATTTTATTTAATTAAAGTTAAATAACTTTTTAAATAAATGTGTTATTTATTATAATTAATTTTACAAACAAAAAAGAAAAAAGAGAATAAAATAAAGCTTTGAATTATTAATTTAGAAGGTATAATAATATTAATTTAATTTAAGATTAGATATGAGATTTATTTTATCTTACTTTACATATATCTGTTCAGAACCCCATGTCTAGATTCCGGAATAAAAAATTTAACATATAAAAATAATATGAACCTCGGGTCTGGACCCTGAACCCCGGGTCGGCCTGAGCACAAAATTTGGTCGTAAATTTTACGACCAAGCAAATTAACAACACTATGATATAGATCGAATTTCCTTTTTGATATATCATATCGTATGTGAGTTAAAGAGGCTGTGTGTGAAATATATTAAATAAAAAACTAATAATTACCTCAATTATATGGATCTTGTTTTGTTATTTGGTTTAAAGAACCATTTGAAAAATAATTATTTAAGTTAAATTACAGGAAGTTTTTAAAAAATAACAAAAATTTTCTCAACAATTTCTTAAGTTTTTAATAGTCATTTATTTTAATAAATAAAATCGAAATCCATATTTTTTTAATAATAATAATTAATTAATCATTCTGCCATATTGTTATTTTTATGCACATTCTGTTTATAAAAGTTTGCGATAATCTCTTCAGAATCTTTTTTTAGTGAATTTGGTGATATTAATTAACTTGACAGTTAACATCGCCGTAAACGTAAATTGATTTCTGATAAATAAGTAAATTTTGGTATTTCCAATAAGAAATCTTCGATTTATTAATGTTAAATATTGTTTAAAATTTTATTCAAATTTCATATTATATATGTTTATTATTTATTATATATAGATTAATGTTACTTATTTATATAAAAGTTATTTAACAATAAAAATATTTTATATACTTTTAGAATTGCAATAGAATTGAATAAAAACTATAACTGATCATTATAATATATTTAAATAAATGACATAAAAATTAGATATGATATCGGATCGGTAATCGGTCGATATCAATTTAATATCGGATCGGATAGGCCTCCAAAATGTGATATCGGTATACACCTACTTAAAACCCAAATTTATTAGTTATACCTTTAAAACCCGTGGTGATCCTGGATAGTTGACATCCCTTTAAAAATTATGACATATATATTATTGGGAATATAAACTTTAATATAATAAAGAAAAACTTTTTATTGGCCATTATTTTATCACAAATTATAAATTTACATTTCTTTTTATTATTTATACATGCATGAATGACGTTGAATTTTTATATTGGTCCTCTCCACATTAAATTACAATATCAATATGTGTTAAAATAAAATTTTACTTTTTTATTTTTATTCCGTCATGCATGGGCTACTCTTTTTGAATATTTATTACATATATTTTTATTTTACCATATAAATTTTTTATCAAAAGAAAGAAAATGGTAAGAAAATAATAATAAAAAAAGCTTTATTTATTAATTTAGAATGAATAAGATAAGAAGAATAAGATTTAATTTAAGATTAGAAAATGAAATATTTTTTTTTTACTTTTCATTTATCCGAGCCCAACCCCAAGGTGTAAGTCTGGACCCCTGGTCTGGACCCCGGGTCTGAACCCCTGGTCTTAACCCCGGGTCTGGACCCCGGGTCTGAACCCCTGGTCTGAACCCCGGGTCTGGACCCCGGGTCTGAACCCTGGTCTGAACCCCGGGTCTGGACCCCTGGTCTGAACCCCGGGTCTGAACCCCGGGTCTGAACCCCGGGTCTGGACCCCTGGTCTGAACCCCTGGTCTGAACCCCGGGTCTGAACCCCTGGTCTGAACCCCGGGTCTGAACCCCTGGTCTGAACCCCTGGTCTGAACCCCGGGTCTGGACCCCGGGTCTTAACCCCGGGTCTGAACCCCGGGTCTTAACCCCGGGTCTGAACCCCGGGTCTGAACCCTGGTCTGAACCCCGGGTCGGCCTGAGCACGAAATTTGGTCGTAAATTTTACGACCAAGCAAATTAACAACACTACTCCTTCTCTTCCAAAATTTATACAATATATTACTATAAAAAGAATTTAAAAAAAATTTAGTAAACGTTAATAACTTTCAAAATAAACAGCTATAATTCAGAATTTTTAGAAAAAAGCATTTTTATATAAAAAAAGTGAAACCCCAAAATTATTTTTATAAAAATTTAGTATTCCCCCCCCCCCCCTAGCAAAATACCTAATTCACCTATGGTTTTCATAATATAATGATTATGGAATACAAAATAATAAATATATAGATAAATTATTAGAAATATTACAGTCAATATAAAATCTATAAAAATATGGATCTATTTTTCTCCATCTCTTAAGATTTTCTCCCTTAGTTCAGATAGAAATTTCATGTCTCTTTGTAATAGCTTTTACTTCTACCAATTCCCTTTAAACATTTATATATTTATTATATAAAATTGAGCGTGGCTTCAAATAAAAAGTAATTTTGACAGTAAACATGACTTGTGTAACTCTTTTTGTTTTATATTCAGAATATTCTAAATTTATTTTCCAAAATTCCAACCTGAGAATATGATAAGCTCATAAATTATTTTGATTAATGGTCTTAAGAAGGCATATAACATTTTTATTCTTAGGCTGGACCTGGGTAAATTGATTCATGACATTGTAAATTATATTAACTTTTTATTAAAGAAATTAATGATAATTAATCATTGAACCTATTTAAAATAATTAGAAGCTATAAATTTTAATAATTAACTTTATTATTAGATGAGATATGGATTTTGTGAAGTATCAAATGAAACAGTGTATGCCATTACTTTTGATGGTAGTATTTATAGTATTAACAAAAGTTTTGGCATTATCAATTGGAAAATTCAGTTTTCTTCAGTTACTCAAGTTATGATGAATTCCCATGTTAAGTAAAAAATTTTTTAAGCAACTTGAAATGTATTTTGATATTTATAAAGTGACGTCTTATTTCCTAATCCTAAAGATGGAACCCTTTATATAAATTCTATTGAGTCTGGAAAGTTAAAATTATTACCCTATACAATTCCGGAGTTGGTACAAATATCTCCAACAATCACAAAAAATGGAATAATTTATACTGGTAAATTTTTAAAAATATTTTTGAATATATTAAAATGTATTTTTAATTCAATTATGAGAGACCTGCAGAGATACCCTTTGCATGGTCTTGCCTGGATTAAAAATTTTTGGCCTCCCAAGTTTTATATTTTCATGCCTGGCCCAGATTTTTTAAAAATAAATTTTTAGATAATAATGATAATTTAAAATATTTGGTTTTAAAATGTTTGGCCCAGTCTGACACAAATATTTTTATAAGAATATGTTTTAGGCCCAGCCTGGATATTAAAAAAAATTTTTAAGCACAGCCCAGGTGTATTAAAAAAAAATAAAATGAGGCTTGGTTTGTTTAACCACATTGGGCCAGATCTGTGGGTCTCTGATATTATTAAAGAATATCATTAAAATATTTTAGAATTCAGAGACTCATCATATAAATATTATATTATTACAATTAATCTTATTTTCTAAGCAAAATTTGAATATGTGAAGTTAAATTCTGGAATATTATATTCTAATTTAAATTTCATATTAACCCAAAATTAATATTATAAAAATGTGTATACAGTAAATTTTATTATAGTTAACCTCCAAAGAGACATGAAATTTAGTTATAGAAAAAAATAAGGGGGCATGTAGTTTAGTCATTTAAAAAAAATAATTTTTTTGAAATTTTATTGTTACCATTTTTTTTAAAAATACAAAAAACATTTCCTAACTCATCTTATGAAGCTAAATACGATTCTATATTAATATAATTTATATTAAGCTTCTTTGATAAGGGGCACACATTTTAGTCATGCCCATATCTGATTGCATTATATAGTTAACTTTAGTAATAATATCCAATATATTTAATTTAGTAAATTTTTTAAATATCTAATAAACAAATTTTTTAGTTTATTATTAGTTTTACTGAATAAAGAGTATATTGAAAATAAACCTATAAATTTTGTAATATACAATATAGGCCTTAAAAGTTCAAAATAAATAAATAATTACTTAGACTTTACATATTCATTATATTCATTTAATTCGACATAGAAATTTGATATTATATTTGAAGGGTGGAGATCAAAGATTAAAAGATAATACCAGTTGATTTCAATATAGTTCTGATCCCATCCAATCTTTGAACAGAATTGTTAATTATCATTGGGTAATATTAGATCCAAGGTATCCAGTAGTGTATCGCAAAAAATTTTTCTCACAATTTGGCTTGAAACTTATTTACATATGGAAACTTCTGAAAATTTTTACAAATAATAGCACATTAAAAAATTTATTTTTCTTCCAATAATTATTTTGGTTATCCTTATGTTAATTTTTAAAAAAATGGTATAAGGTAAATAAAAATACAAATGTTTTACCCCCACGAAAAGAAACATTATTTACCTCTACCATCCAAAAAAATATTTAAAAATATAAAAATGTTAACAAAAATAATTAGTTAAAATAATAATGAGGAGTATAAAAAAGTTATCTAGAATAATTTAACATTAGATCATAGCCAGACTTTTCATTTGGTTAGCTATATGGAGAGTGAATTATATCTTGATTATCAATAAAGAAGTTATATTGTATATTTGTAATATATTTACTTTACCTCAGATTTTTTATGTTTGGTCAAAATAATAGGATATGCCACACTACATAAACATGAAAAAAGTCTGATGATCTATATTAGAGTTGTTAGTTTGCAAATTGGTGATAAAATTTTCATGGAAAATCAGTATCACCAGAAATTTTTTCAACTCTGACATTATTTGATGGAAAATTATATATTGTAGTCATTTCATATCCATCCATGGAGCATTCCATTACAAAACCATTGCTGGCTTTTAGGATTTTACATTGGGGAGCTTTTTAGAAGACATTATCATCAATGAAATGACAATGAGTGAACATAAACAACATTTATTTGCTGTTTTAATTTTACTTGTATAGACCAAGCTTTGGTTAATATTAAATATATTTTTCAATCTAAAATAAAATAATATCTCGTAAAAAAAAAGTTGCTCTAAATAAAATCTTTTAGATATCCAACTAATTATTGAAAAGATTTTTTAGGAATGTTCACTTTAGTCAGAGAATGACTTATTTATAGCCCTCTATTCTGTGGCTTAACTATAGCTATTAGCTGTTGTCATAAAAATTGGCTATGACCAAAAGCCTAATAGTTTTTTTTAATTATTCTTTTTTAAATCATTGAGCTTATTGACTAGAAATATGAAACAAAAGATAATGATAGATCAAGCAAGAATATATATTATATATAATTGAAATAAAGACGACTAGTGATATGGATCACTCATTTTTAAAAAAACTATTAGCCAAAGCTATTTAAAATTAATTTTTGACAAAGGCTAAACTAGTGTTGTTAAACGGCTAACTCAATATTTTACCCAAAAGAAAATAACGTAAGCCTGAAGATTTTGCTCATAGTTGGCACAAATGCTTGGACATCTATTAGCGAAATCTGAAGGCTTTGGAAATATTTTTCTTGCTAAAATCCTAGCCTTTTTTAAAAATCGGATCAAATCGAGCTATTTAACAACACTAGGCTAAACGGTCGTTTTCATCCCTATACTACTGACTAGAAGCCTGTAAAGTCTATTTTTTCATACCCGAATCTGGTAGCATATTTTTTTTAGATCTGGACCAGTCTTGCACCTTGGCTTAAATTTTTATAGGAGCTGGAAAAAATGTCAAACTCGATAATTTCTCTCCAAAGAACTTATAAATATTTTGTAACAAATGTTGATAAAAAATTCCTTATATAACAAATTATTTGGTGTAGCTTTAAATTCACTATATTGCGTTTGGATGCATTATAGGGCTATAGAGCTGGCCATACTCCAGATCGCTATGACCCAAAAACACCTATCAATTGGTGATGGATAATTGAAATGATTAAAGAAAATATGAGACTAAAAAATTATTGATTAAAAAAAGCGAAGAGATCGAAATTGATACCAGCATGCTTAAGAAAATCTATCTGTTAGGACAAGATTGTGAAAAGAAATATGGCGGAATATAAAGCATGTAAGAAGCATGCAGATCAGTCGGGATTACTGGTGCTTGACAGAATAAATATTGGAAGAATGTATTATATATATTTGTAAAATGTGTACTTTGGGTCAACTTTCATATGCTAGGTTTGAATATAACATAATGATATAGCGGATACATTGGTATTTTATATTATTGCAAAAACGAAATCACTCTTATAATAATTTTTTAAAAAATGAATTCAAAGAGGGCATTTTAAAAAGCAGTATGTAATCTCCTTATTTCTCTTTTCTTTGGTTCATAAAAATTAAATGAGACGCCATTTTATCGGAGATAAATTATTGCATCATTTTTTTAAAAGAAAATTAACAAAGTTAAAATTAGATATTTCAAAATGTAATTATAGGCCTTTAAACGGCTATGAGAATATATATAAAATAAATAAAAAAATATTTATATTATAAATTCCGCTAGATAAGGTATAAGGATTTATAAAATTTTGTTACTGCCTTTTATTTCATTTTTTTTATGTTATTTTTATTTAAGATATTTTTAGGAGAATTTTGCCTACAATTTAATTTTTTTTGTGGTAATTCTTAATTCCGCATATTTAAGATATTTTTAGGAGAATTTTGCCTACAAATTTAATTTTTTTTATATAAAATATAGGAATTCTTAATTCCGCATATTTAAGATATTTTTAGGAGAATTTTGCCTACAAATTTAATTTTTTATTTAAGATATTTTAAAATAGTTTTTCCTATAAATTTTTATTTAAGATATTTTAAAAAAGTTTTTCTACAAAATTTTATGGGTAAAATATAGGAATTCTTAATTCAGCAGCGTATGGGGGAGGAAGGGGAGTAGGAGAATTTTAACTACAAATTTAACTTTTTATTTAGTGAAATTAAATCTATTTATCTTAGATATAATAGGTTAGAATAAGCCAATTATTTCTATTATCGGGTCAATAATTCACGAAATTTTATAGATTCAAATAACATATCAATCAACACCCAAAAAGTCGAAAGACTTTGGCGGGATCTAAAAGCCAACTATAAAAGACATGGGGATAAGGATAATATTCATAAATATCTACTAGAATATAGATATTTTAGAAAATATAGATTGTTAAATAGTTTTGATATTTTTATTCATTTTATATATCACTGTATTAATTTCAATAATATACTTCAATTTAATGAATAAAATTGGGAATTTAATACTATATTTCGTGTACAAATCTTAATACTATATTTAATTGCGTCATTTAATACTATATCCTTCACTAGAAAGGTTAAAAAAATCACTTACACTTCAAAGGTGGGATCTATTTTATCCCTAATATAAAATTAAATAAAAATTTGTAGACTTAAATAAAAAATTAAATTTGTAGGCTGCCCCCTCCCTCCCCCATATATAAACGATGCGGAATTAAGAATTCCTTTTTTTTTTACACAATTTTGTAGTAATAACTTTTTCAAAATATCTTAAAAAAATTTGTAGAAAAAATTATTTTAAAATATCTTAAATAAAAAATTAAATTTGTAGGCAAAATTCTCCTAAAAATATCTTAAATATGCGGAATTAAGAATTCCTTTATTTTACCACAAAAGAATTAAAATTGTAGGCAATAAAAATATCTTAAATATGCGGAATTAAGAATTCCTATATTTTACAACAAAAAAAATTAAATTTGTAGGCAAAATTCTCCTAAAAATATCGTAAATATGCGGAATCAAGAATTCCTATCAGAGTTGTTAACGCTCTTTTTTAAAAGTAGCTAGCTCCCGCTCCTACCTTCTCAAAAAGATCTAGCTTCCTCTCCCGCTACTACATTTTTAAAAGGAGCTAGCTCCCGCTCCAAGTAATGGAGTGCCACTCCATAACCGCTCCTTTGATTTTCATTTTTTTAGAAGGTATATAAAACAAAATCATATTTTTTTTATCAAAAAGCTTTATTTACATTAAATGATCTATCAAAATATTTATAACCTTTTATTAGCTTTTAAAAGGAATAAATTTTCTAAATTATAATATAACAAACATCCACGCCTCTCCCCTAAGACCTGTTTTGCAATGCTAAATAGGCACTCCACAGGAGCACTAGAGGGAAGCGGGGTATTGTATTTTATAAAGATATTTTTTAATTCAGGAAATTTATCAAAAATAGTATTTTGGTATCATTATTTAAAAAATATTTGTCCAATATATTTCTTCCTGATGATCAATTTCATGGAATTAAAAAAATTTTCCAAATCAATTTGTATTTAAAAGAAAGATTTTTTACAATTAGATGTTTTTTTGGATTATGAAGCTCACTTTTGAAATTTAAATAATTTATTTAAACACAAAAGACATTTTGCCCTTAAATTTATTTGATCATTTGTATCAACCATCTTTTAGAAGTTTAAAATATTTTTTGTATGATGGAAATGGAAATTTGATTTCTTCATCTATGATCTCTAAATCCATTATATCTAAATCTATTTTTTATTATATATCTATAAAATGAATATTAATATGACTTACAAGATTTTTCAAAAAATTTTCAATATAAAAAGGAAAACTTGATGTTTAATATTTAAAATAGATGAAAAACCAATATAAAACTAGGCTAAACATTTAATAATAGATAAATTTAAATTTATTAAAATTTCATTTTATTGAATTTTAATTAATAAATATTATTAATATTTAATAAATAATTTAATTTATACATTAAATTTAAAGGAGCGGTGGAGCGGCGCTCCTCCACTCCAGCTCTAAAAGGAGCTAGCTCCCGCTCTCCAATTTAAAAAGGGTTTTTTAAAAAAAATGTAGCTCTTTAACAACTCTGATTCCGATATTTTACCACAAAAATATTAAATTTGTAGGCAAAATTCTCATAAAAATATCTTTAATAAAAATAACCAAAAAAACAATATTATAAAAAAAATAACATAAAAAACAATATTAATACTATATATCGTGTATAAATTTGAATACTATATTTAATTGCGTCATTTAATACTATATTTCGATTTAACCCTTCACTAGAAAGGTTAAAAATCACTTAAACTTCAAAGGTGGGGTCAATAAAAATTTGTAGACCTAAATAAAAAATATAATTTGTAGGCAAAATTCTCCTATAAAAATAATTTAAATATTTTACTACAAAAAAAATTAAATTTGTATGCAAAATTCTCCTAAATATAACTTAAATATGCGGAATTAATAATTCCTAAATTTTACCACAAAAAAATTAAATTTGTATGCTAAATTCTCAAAAATATAACTTAAAAATAAAAAATTGATAAAAAAAATATCATAAAAAAATAACATAAAAAAAATAACATAAAAAAAATAACATAAAAAAATAACAAAAAAAAATAAATTAATTCCTATATTTTACCACAAAAAAAATTAAATTTGTATGCAAAATTCTCAAAAATATAACTTAAAAATAAAAAATTGATAAAAAAAAATATCATAAAAATAAAAATTGATAAAAAAAAATATCATAAAAAAATATCATAAAAAAAATAACATAAAAAAAATGACATAAAAAAATAACAAAAAAAAATAAAATAAAAATAATATACCTGGCAGTAACCATAATTTCTTTTATTTTTATTATTTAGCCTGCTTGAGCAGGTCACTTCATAGAAGCTCTTATTTTAAGCAAAGCTTAAACATTAAAATATAAAGATACAATAATACTAAAGAACATTTTTAAATTTTTATAATAAAAATATAATATTTTTGTCATTTTATGATCTTTTATTATTTTTTTAAAAGATTGAATATATAAACAAACATGCCATTTAATCAATAACTAAGCAAAGTTATCATTTAAAGACAGTAACAATAAGCGAATTTATTTAAAACTGACTATTTTTATACAATATTTTGCAATAATGATAGTTTTATCAGTATATTTGTTGATTAAAATAAACTTATATATCATAAAAATGGCATTCGAATTCATCAGATCTCTCTCCATTGTTAATGGTGTCTTTTTTTAAATTCACTAACATGCGCAGCCCCACGGCCTTTGGCTACCAAAGTGTTTCTAATGGCTCATAGAAACAGTTAAATATAGGAAATTATATTTTGGCCCCAAGTAAACTTTTGGTTCTCCCCCTCAATGGAATCTTCCTGGAGCATGGACTTGAGCATGCGTTATATAACTTTCTGATTTAAAGAAAACAAATAATTAATTATGAATACGCTATCTAGCGGGATTTTTAAAGTTATTAAAAAAATAATTATTATTTACATAAAAATAATTTACACTAACCATAATTAACTATTTATAAAAAGTATACATATTGCTTTAAATTTTATATATTGTTTCAGAAATAAAGATGTAACTGTTGAAAAGTTTGATCCATATGTATTGTAATGAAAATTTAACCAGGAAAAATAAAATTAATATAATAAAAAATTGATTATATGGAAATGATTAAATGTAAAATTAAATGCCTTTAGTAATTAATCTCATATACCTTTATTTCATATTGAAATAATGCAATTTTTTATTTTATTAAATCAAATCCCAATAAAAAAAAATGATCATATTCATCGAAAAATATAAATTTTCATTAAATTAACAAAAACATACAGAGCTAAAACTAACTTAATTTGATTGGCATTTGAGTATTAATTAAGGATACATGTTATAAACTTACGACACTAACAAAATTAAAAGTGATATATTGTTATATTAAATTTGATTATCAATTATTTTTTCTTAGAATTAAAAAATCATTTATTATTTTAAGAATTTACGTTATCGGAATTTATGCTATTTTTACTATCAATTTTAAGAAATGATATTATTTTCCATTATTTTTGTTCTAAGAATTAATTTTAAATAATATAAAATTATATAAATCTAGAGTAAACTGTTATTTATTATATTTAAAGGCTGCTAATTATATCAAATTATTTTTTTGTTGTTTTCCAAAGGCGGAAAAATGGATCATTGGTACTTGATTGACCCCTCTAATGGGGCCATAATAAACGCATTGAAAGACAATGAAGGCTTTTACGACAAGTGCTCGGTTCAAGATCCTTACGCTTCTACTGAGCCAGAAGTGGAATCAGGAGAAAGGTTGTCAACCCCAGAGGAGCGGAAAGAGAAGACTGCCGAATACATGCTGCGTGTGGTTAAAACAGGTTGAATTTACGTTTTGTTACTTTTATGCAACTCTCATTGTTCTCTATCCAACCTAAGCTAATGATGATGAGACCCTAAGAAAGAGGTACCATACCGATTTAAAGGAGTTTTCGCAATTTTAAAACATTAAAAAATGTATGCCCATCAAGATGCCCATTCAGGAATTATTCAAATCAACTATATCATTGACAAATCAGAAAAGAGAAGAACGAAACGAATCAATCAACTTTCATAAAAAATTATTATTTTGATGTTTCAATGTGAATTATCGGGAAATAGTTTACAAATGTATCTAGATATCGATACATCGACTAAAAATATATCTAGTTATTAATACATTCCAACAAATGTACCTAAATTAGAGGTCTACAATGGCCGGGGTTTTAGCCATAAAGCTCGTCCACTTGTTTTGAAATTTATTTAACCTACCCGCCCGCCTATTTATCTATAAAATTTGTTTAACCCGCCCGCCCGCCCGCCCGCCTAATTTTTAAAATAATGGCTGGTTTGGCTCTTTATATATTTATTATAATGTATTTTTAATTAAACATATATAATATGGAATATTATTATTATTTTTAACAAATTGAAGTCTGCTCTACTTATTTTGCCTGAAAAATATCAAAAATTCACCCGCCCACGCCCGCCCATTAATTTAAAAGTTTTTAACGCGCCTGCCACCCGCCCAATGTTGTAAATATTTTAGGAAACACGACCACGTCCACCCAAATCTAATCTAAATACTTTATTTTAACAGACCAGGAAAATTGCAATGCCTCTTCAAAATTTGCTATAAAACATTTCGATTTTATTTAGAAATTATGCTAATAAAACGAGAAATGATTTATTTACGTTTACAATGAAAGCTGAAAAAATCTTATCAGGTTAATTCAGCGAATCCTTAATTGCGAAACACTTTTTAGCCAAACTTTTACCGCGATGGAGTTTTAGAGCCAAAGTAAAATCGCGAAGGCAATTTCGCGAACCCAGTATAGCGAATTTATTTTTGCGAACACTAGAACATACATTTTAGCCAAACTTTTATCGCGAACCCTTTATAGTGAATTTTTACTGCTAATGTATTTTGACAAAGTCATTAAACTCTAAATATATTGCAAATGCATTTATTAAAAGAAAAAACATATTCATTAATAATTTATCCGCATAAGTTCCTTAAATCATTAACGTAAAGTGTTTTAAGAATCTTAGATGTGACTTTTATATGATGTGATAAAAAAGTAAAAGGTCTTGGTCGTAGGTATAGGGTATTAATGAATTAATAAAAAATAAGTTCTATAGACTAAATATTGGCGAAACCAGATATCATTTTCACCAATAAGGATCAAGATTAACTAATGAACGCAATAATTAATAGATTCTTATAAAATAAGACTTCGTAGAAAAGTAGGACAGGTAATTCTAAGCTCAATAATATATACCTTTGTTAAGGTTAAATAAAATAAAAAATTTTTCATTGAATCGATTTTTCAACCAATTTTTTTTAAAAAGATATTTACATAATATGATCTTAAAAATTTATTTCAAAATAAAATAGTCATGTCGCGATATTGATTTCGAGATAATAGATTCACCTAATAGTTTTCGCTATATTGTCTTCGTAATTTGGGTTTCGCGATAATGACTTCACTATAAATATTTCTTATTATTGATTCGCGATAAAAGTTTTGCTATAAAATTCATGTGAAATTGAACCGAAGAAATAACTAAAATATGAGAGGAAGATTGTTATTTTAAAAACCAAAAACTTGCAGGCCCAGCCCTAAACCAAATTGCACGCCGGGCTCTAATTTATTTAAAATAAACTCGAAAACCTTGTATCAAGGTATTCAGCCGATGCCTTGGCCTTTATGGCATTGGGATTATACTCTTTATTTAATTAAAAATTTCGTGTAAGCATAACTTATAATAAAGATAACTATATTGGTAGGATGAAATTTAACAAAGCTATTTACTTTAGCGAAAGATAATGAAAAATATGGTATATGGTGAATTTAATGACAAATCCAAAAAACATCATTTTAAACCCGACCCCTTCAGATTTTTCTAAATTTTTACAAGAATTTGTGTATATATATATTTATATATATATATATTATAACTAAGATATAAATAAAATTTTAGCCTCCGACTCCAGACAGCGGCTGAGGGTTTGACCTCTAAATGTCAAAAAATGTGGAATTTTGGGCAAAATGCACTCCTTTAAATTTTAGATATAATTAAGTCATTTAGATTTAGATTATATAGATTAATTATAGACCTTTTAAGTAACATAATTAATAGGCAAGTTAGTTGACTTTATTTTTAAAAAACGTATCGTTCAAAATTGTCTAATCAATTCATATTTATCAATCAAAATTTAAATTTTTTCTATTAACGATAACCAATAAGGATAGACGTTTATTCAAAAAAGTCTCCATTTTTTAAAATGGATAGGGTGGGGGTATCTTAAATGTAGTGTTGTTAAACAGCTCGTTTTGAGCCGATTTTTATAAACGGCTAAATCAATATTATAACAAGAAAACAATTGTCTAAGCATCGAGATTTCGCTAATAGATGTCTAAACCTTTGTGCCATCTATGGGTGAAATCTTCAGGCTTGCGTAATATTTTTGTGGATAAAATATTGAGTTAGCCGTTTTTAAAAATTAGCTCAAATCGAGCCTTTTAACAATAATATTTAAATTATCATAATGCTATTTATTAACCCCCACCCCGCAATGGAAGGCATGCACACTGACATCTGTAGAATATATCTTTTTCAATATTAGTTATACATGTAAATTAAAAAAAATTAACAATTCGTTCTATAAGGGTTGTCTCTTAATTTATATTTATTAGTATACACCCTTACGGCTTTCGATACTAAAACCTCCAGCCAGCTGTGGAACGTTACTTATTTAGCTTATAAGATTTTTGGCCCGTCAATCACGCCTATCAGCCAACCGCCTGTCGTCCAAATTAATTATTCTGACCACCACCCTTTGACAAGTCGGGAGCTAGAAGAAGATCTTGAAATTAACCATTCGAATGAGAGAAAACAAATGACTGATCAATCGGGGGCCCAGATAACAAAAAGGTCACATGATCAATATTTGTTGACTAATCCGGAGCTAAAAGAAGAGTTTGGATACAAATTATCAACCCGTGAGAGCTTTTTGAGCGATTGTCAAAGGGGTCAACTCTTATTGCTCAACAATACTAATTGTGAGTAGTTTTCAGATTATTAGGCTTGTAACGAAAAGGAATGGATGGAAGTAGTAAAGAAAGGAGGAAGGAAGGGACATAAATGGGGGATAAAACTGATAATAGTAATAAATTTAATTTTTCGTCATATTAGATAAAAAAAATTATTGCCATGATACTTTTAAGGTTGGAATATAATTTATATTTTTTAAAATCCTTTTCATCATATTTTATTTATAAATTCTTTAGCCAAAATTAAATGGTCTATAGACCTGACATCCCCCGTTATATCTTTATACGCTGGCTCTACTTTTTCTTCCTCCCATCGGTCACTTTTGAAAGTCGTTTCCCAACACTCGCATCCGTCTGTGCATCACGTTCAAGAGGAATTAATTTATCCAATCGACTTCATAACCGTCTCAATCCCCGATTTTTTGAAAAAACGAACTAGATTTAGAATCCAAAATTGCAATCAAAATATTATAAGAAATGGTCATTATATTTTTAATTACTCAGTCGAAACACATTTTAGCAAGCCAAAGAATAAGGTCAATTATCCTAAACATGCTCATAAGGATAATCCGACTTTAAATTCGAATAGCCGAAATATCTGTCCGATTAACTCTTGTAAAAAATCAAATCATTTTGCCACTTTACCCGAGATAAAAGTTGGTCATTTTTCGAATGAAAAGATTTCCCGCGAAAAAGTAAACAGCTGTCTCAGAGATTGGGATTGGGGGTTGGAACCGGTAGCTGCTCTATTTTTAGGACGGGCCTTTACAACCTCGGTCGTCTCTAGACCGAATTCGTTTACCACCGAAATCCCTAAAAATATTAATAGGAATGGGGAAAATATAACTAGCCATTTCAAAAAAGACGAAATTACTAAAAATGGTATGCTAAGACATATGTCTAAGGAATTGAATGACTTTGAGAAGCCTACGAATCCCGAAAACCCGAGGCAAGATGACACTTTTTCTCCTAAAAAAGAAATAGTTAATTATCATTTGACCATAGCAGATTACGATAGACCATCATCTTTGAGTGTGGATTCCTTTTTCGCTCTTCCGACGCTCGTTTCTTCGGATCGGTCACGCCCTCTTGCCAAGAAGTTTTTAAGACAGGTTTTTGCTTTTCTATTACAAATTTTTTATTTTAATTTGATGAAAAATTCATGCAAAATATGTAAAAAGAAACGGAGAATAAAATTAATAAAAAAAATAAGAAATGAATTCATCATAAAACTAAGAAATAATAAATGAGAAATTAATTAATTGATATACAATGGGAAAAAAGAAACTATAAAATAATAGATAAATGAGGAAAATGATTTATTTTATACTAGCAAACTCGCCCGATAAGCATGATTGGCATAGAGGATAAATCTTCCAAACTTTTCCCTACTTTTCGAAAGTCCATCACCCCTCAACACCTCAATCAGAATGGCCCTGTCAATCAAAAAGAGATTAGTGACACGCTTTTTGATATTCTGCGGAAAATAGAGAGCAAACCCGTTTCCGATCGTTTTGCTGAGACCTTTAAGAACTCGAATTCTCATCTCGATTCCTGTAACGATAAAAAAATTAAAAGATCGTCGATCAAACATAGTGGACCCAGAAATAGTTTAAAAGAGATAGACGAAAATGTCCATGATTCTAATATTGGTAAATATATATTATTCTTTTCATAAATTTTTGTTACAGCCATTTATATAATTATATACACGGTTGTGCAGATTTAATGGAAAACATTTCCATATTTTTTAATTTATTTGCAAATAAAATTATTTGACTTGAAAAAATAACATATTTATATTAAAGATCTGCAAGCGGCCCGGCCCGACCAGTACTCGGGTGGGTTTTTAAAAAAAAATAATTTGGGTTAAGCTTGGTCTGGCCTAACATTTTTTAAAGAATTTCGGACCGGGCCGAATCGATCTTAAATTTTTAAATATGATATCATTACATTTTCTCAAATATATTGATATATTTTAAAATTCTTGCTAGAATAATATTTTTTTACAATAAAAAAATATTAAATTTTTATTTTTTTTATTTTAAAATTTATTATTAGGCATACAAATATAAAAGTAAATAATACAGAATACTTATCCAATATATACAAATAGTTTACATGTACAACTTAAAAATATATTAAATCTAGTATATAAAAATATTTATAAAAATAATACTGTATTTATAAAAATAATAAATATATATAATTAAATAAAATATAAGTAATTTTGGTATAACGGAATTTAAGAAAAATATATAATTTAACAATTCTAGAAATTTAAAGAAATTTAACAACCAACGACTTCATAATACAAAGTATAATAATGGAAATATAATTAGTGCAAATAATTATATATTTAAAAAATTCTGGCCAGGCGGACAAATAATTTTTATTTTGGGTCGAGATTTTCGGGACAAATAAAAAAATTCGCTCGAGATCGGGCCGGGCCTGACAAATTTTTTAAAAAGATTTCGGACCAGGTCGGGATTGAAAAATTAGACCCGATGTAGATAATTAATTTATATATTCTTATCAATTTTTACAAGTTAATTGATTTTATTTACAAACGATAAAAAATATGGAAAAGTTTTTCCCTTAAATCTGCATAACATTGTAAATTGTGAAATACGAATTATTAAAAGTTTTTAAGAAACATTTCCTATTTTATTTCTAATTTTTATAACAATAATATATCTTAATTTTTATTTTCCTTTATTTTAGTAAATAATATACTCGATTCCCAAAAACTTGAAGAGCCCGCAGCTGTTAACACGAAATCTGATTTGTTATCTGGCCGATTTCATCCATTTCCCGTAGAAGTTATTCCAGTAACCGACCTTTTTTCTTCACATTACTCGTATCCTTATCCCTTTCAATCCTCCTTCCTTCGTTCTACACCTCTTCATTCAACCACTTCTGACCAAGATATGGATTTAAATCCCGCCCTCGTTTGGTTCCACCCCCCTGACCAGCTCGCTCCCCCTGGAGCACAATTGGCTTTATACAACAAGCCGGGAAATGGGGTAAAAAGCAATGGCTATTACGATTACCTAAATAGTTACGGTATTGGGAACAATCTTTCGAAAGATTTGGGATTTTATTATCCTATAATAGACGGGGAAAGGCAGAAGCAGAACTATTACAATTATGCTGTATCGATTTACATCATTTTGTTGACATTGGCGTTTCCCTTCATTTTGGTGAGAAATTGGAATTTGAGAATTTAAACTAAAATACATTTCTAAAGCGACTTCCAGATAGGACGTTTATATCGTGAAAGTCGTGTCTAAAAGTCATATAGGGCTGGGAAAATTAAAAACACGATTTTGATTTAATTTTTTGAACTATTTTTTTTTAAAAATGCATTTGGTTGCTATGATCTCGTAGATTTATATGCTACTAACTTTCATTACTTATTTTAAAATTTGAAGAATTATTTTTCAAGAATTTTTTTACAGTAGTTTTATTAGATTATCTTGTCAATCAATACTTTTATATGATCTTGAATTAGGTTGTAGGGGATGGAACTTACAAATATAATCTAAATTCGAATTATAAAACATAATCTTAGTGTTAAATGGCTGCCCGTTGGGTCGATTTCTAAAAAAGGCCCGTTTATGATTTTAGGCAAAATAATATTTCGTAAGTTTGGAGATTTTGCTCGTGACAGAAAGATTTAGGCCTCTAATTTCTAAATCTCGAGGCTTACATATTATTTTGGCTAAAATTTAATCGGGCCGTTTTAAAAAATCTACTCAAATTGGCCGGCCGTTTAACAAAACTACATAATATCTTGGAAAATGAGGGAACAATTAATGAGATCTATAATAGATTAAATATGAATAGATTTCGCATACCTCAATACGTTGTAATTTTATAACATTGGAATTATTTTGATTTGATAGATTTTTAAAATTTTTACGCCAATTTCATAATGTATCGTAGAATATTTTTCCCAAGTCTACTGATTTTAACTTTTTTCTTTTATGTTATGTGCATAAACAATTAATTAAATATAGATAGAATGAATAAATAAATTTGCTATTTTTTTTAAAGTTATGGCACTCGAGCGTTCGATTCACTCAATTAGCTCTCCGTTTTCTTCCTGGCATCATTCGTGTTAACATGCATATGGATTTAGGCAAATGTTTTAATGAAATATCGAAAAGACAAGGGCGCCTTGTCAAAATTGGCAAAATAGTTTGCAATACTGAACGCGTGCTCGGTTACGGTTCTTTCGGTACTGTCGTTTACGAGTGAGTAAATAACGAATTCTTTAGGAGTGAATGAAATTATCGATAAAGAGAAAATGGGGAATGAATAGGACATAATTAATGAAATCTTGGATAAACATCAGTTAATGATATAAAATGGGACACGGAAACTATATATTCTCTTTAAGTTCCCATTATATCTCTTCAGGTCAAAATTGATCATTATATAATGGATTTGAGCTTTTCTTTTAACAGTGATTTGCATCTTATTTATAAACTAACCATTAATTATGTTTATAATAGTGTGCTACAAAGTAACTAAGAAGATGTTTTTTGAATGAGTTTATATACATTCAAATGTCAAGCTACCTTTTTTTTTTATAAATTAGGGGAACTTTCGAGAATCGTAAAGTAGGCGTCAAACGGCTTCTTATTCTCGATAACAGCAATCACTCACATTCTTCTAATATCTCTGATAGACTTACATCACAGGCGCGTCGAGAAGTCCGGGCCCTGATTCGCTGCGACAGACATGATCATGTGATTCGATATTTTGTAACCGAAACTCTTGGGGACTTCATATACATAGCTCTAGAGTTGTGCATGGTATCATTCGAGGCCTGCTTCAAAGGTAAAATATAAGTTTAAAAATAATTCTTATTTTTTATTTATTGAGGCATTCTTTCTTATAATTTCTAACCTATTGTTCAAGATCCTTTTAACTTTACTCAAAATCACTACTTTCAGACATTCATATATTCTTTTTATATTACTTACTATATTCATATATTCGTCATCCTAACTGTCACTTGACATTTGAATCTCCATTTACATCCCATCTCTCATTATTAGTTTAATATTCCATTCATTACATATATATTTCACTCTGAGAATCTCATAATTCTCGCCATCCTCGTCTGCTACACGTCATTAATTTCTAGTCTCATACCGCTTAGTTAAATTAAGAAATTCTTCATTATGTCACCACAAAATTATTTTACTTCTTAACATGTCATTCATATTTCCCTTTTATCACTCGCCAATTTTTCCTCTCTTGAATGAACATCAATGTCATAGCCAGGGTATGGCAAATTTCAGGCCGCTAACAAAAAATTACCCCCACCTCCCTCCAAAGCGGGGAAAATGTAATTTTTATTTATATACTTATAAGCGTTTTATAATACTATTATTTTTTCCCAACCAATTATTTCTTTATTTTATTAAATATATCTAAAATAAACAAGGGATGCAACTGGCTATGAAAATCTAAGCCTGCTGATATATTTTTTGAGAGGTAATTAGTTAGATTAATAAATTTGAAGAATCTTTATGCAAAAAATATAAGAAACTGCATTTTAAAGAAACTTGATGATTTAAATATCAAAGCAAATAATATAATACGCAAGGCATAAAATGAACCAATGTTATGTCCAGCGAGTTTAAGGGAATTCAGTCACGTCTACAAAAAAACTGAATAAAACTATGCAAAATATGTTTTCACCATATTGTTATAATAATCTTCCTGCAATTTTAATTTTTTTAAAATTTAGCAAATACATTTATGAATTTTGCAGCGATTTAACATAGCTAGTAAAAATACCGGTAATAAACTCAATCAAATCTCAGCTTAGAGATGGAGCGGCCACTTCTAAGCATCTTATAATTATATTTAAGAATTTTGAATCAATTGTGACGTTTATTCTATTGGTAGAAATATTAAGACTTGAAAGTTTCCGCAAATGATACAGTGGAAACTTCAGGTCTGTATTAATATGATTGATGCAAAAAAATTGTTTACTATTATAAATGCTTTTATTCTTTTTTATTTATTGGAGGTTTTTCAGGTTTGCCTGGATAGGCTTTCGTGTCATCCGTTATCACTTTCATACACATCCTCGTCTAAATATATTGAAAGATAAAAGAAATGATCAATCTTTTGATCTTATAAAAATAAAGTCAATGATACGGAGGCTTAAAAATTTACATGATTTTTTGGTTTTTACAAAAAGTGAGCCTGATCGTTAAAAGGATTCTAATAGAATTATTTTAAAGAGTATTTATTTTGAAATTATTTATTATTTTAGTGAACGTTTTAACGAAAAGTTTCCGGTGATGTGATTTTTTCATGCTGCTTCAAAATTTTTTATCATTCAAACTATTTTATTGCATGGTATTATATCTACTCTTTAAATCTCAATATCGAGACCTTGAATTGCGTAATGAAAATTGCCAAATCATTATTGGCTGAGAAATGAAAAGCAAATCGAACATGATATTCTCCAAAATTTTTTTAAAAATTATTTGCTAAATAAACGGCTTACTGCATACAAACAATTAAATAAATGCTATGTAGCAGTCCTAAAAATTGGAATGTCAATAGGTTAATATGGAGCATTTTCTTCAGCCCTCAAAAAGGGTGTTATCTAGCACAAGAGAATTATAAAAGATAATCGAAAAAATAAAATTTTATATTATAAGTGTATGGGAAAAAAAAATTACACAAAGGAATTAAATTCGATGATTTTATAATAAGGGTTAAATTAAACGCTTGGTATAAATATATTTTTAACTTCTTGCTTCCATTTATTTATATTTTTACATTTTTCAATAAAAAGTAAGCCTTAAAATTGATATTAAATTAACCTTTTGACGCCCAACTTTTTAATAATTAAAAAAAAATTCTTTTTCTATAAATTATTCATTTATACACCCATAGATGCCCAAAATGTTTTCAAAATTTTATTTTTAAATACACAGGTAAAAAAAAATGATGATGCAATTTGACATCATCAGGTAATACAAAAAAATACAAATATCTATTTATTATAAAAATCACGAAAACAATTTCTATATTGATTAAAATATAAATATATATTATATTTTGCACATTTTGTTCTGGGGTATGCATTTATGCATAACTTGTATCTTTGCTTCATTTCGCAGGAATTCGGTCAATGACCAATGTTCTCATATCTGATATCAGATATAGGAGCCATTATATAAGAACTTTTTTAAAAAATTATTGTTCATTCAAAGGTATCTATGATTTTCTTTTACTAATTTTGCCTGCCAATAACAATGCGTTGACAATATGTGTTTTAAATTTGATAAGTTCATGAATTTATTCTCTTTTTCATGGCATATTTGCCGCCAAAAGCCATGAATTTACTACATACATATCAATGAGATGAAAAAGGATTCTCAGGTAGAACCTTTTACCTTTAATATCTATAGCATTCAACAAGCATATCATGTAAATCGACTCCTCCCATACCTTCATTATATATTTTTAATATATTTGGTGGCACTTCAATATATTTTTTGCTACTTAGTGACCATCTTTTTTATTTTATATCGGATGAACACCGACAAATGATGAGATGACGTGCACAAACCTATTGTCATACCATTTGGCAATAGCTCCCCACTTATCTCTAATTCTGATGATGTTGGATTAGTTTGATTTCCCGCATAAATCTTAAAATTATATACAATCCCGTATAAATTTTGTTCACATATATTATTTAGTATATTATCTGAAATATATAATTTAAAGTAGATATGGAGTTAATATATTGGTTAAAGTGGAAAATGTATTAGTATAATTTGTGTCCAATTGATGGATATCACCTGCTCTCCATTTAATATTATTTTGGATGATAATATTATCATTATTTTCTGGATCTTCTATCTCGACTTGAAGATTATTAGATGTTGGTGTTGATGAAGTTGAAGGAGAATCCTCGTAAAAAGTGTGCAAAATACCTTCTTCATTGTCTAATTCATCGATGTGGACTTCCGAAAGAGTACCTCGACTAGTATTAAATTATTTTTCATCTAATAATTATACAGATTCATTTAAAAAATATAATAAATGTAAAATTATAATATAAGTCAGAGGAAAGTCTTATTAACGTCAAATTCAAAATTGGTGTGTTCTGATTGGATTTAGAATAATTATGGTGAAATATAATTATAACTATTATAAATATAAAATAAAATAATTGTTATATAAAAGGTATTCTAATATCCCAATGACTTATTTTGGCATCATGCACTTTAAGTTGATAAAAAAAAGAGCATATTCATTTTAAATAAAATGATTATTCATAATATTATACTCTTATAATAATGAACAAAAAATTGAATAAATATTATCCACAGAATTCGTTATATTGTCGTTATAAAATCATATAATTCAGTAAAATGGTAAAGATAAAATTATGAAATATGATTGGATGAAATTTAAAAATAAAACATTATGAGTTAATAATTTTAATAAAATACGAAAGTATTTTTATTATATTTATATCGTATGATGTTAAATTAATTCTAGTGGCTTTTATAAATTTAAAATATTTAATTATATTATATGATGTCAAAACAAATCGTGTGACGTCAAAGGGTTAATAAAATTTATGAAAAATAAAATGATTGCAAAATTCATTAAAGAAATGAGAGATAAGATGATAAGGAATTTCTAATATTGAGGAGTATAGTCTATGATGGCGATATTTTATAATTAATTTTTAATTATATTCTTTTTCTTCTTTTTTATAAAAATATAAAAAAGTGAAACAATAAAATCCACTAATCAAAAAAATATAATCATTACAATTTTGAATGTAATTAAGAATCAGTTTTTTCGAAATTATTTTATCAAAATACGAGTACATAAAAAAAGTTTTAAATACAACAGTATATAGTAAAACTTGTTTAATTTAGACTCTTAGCAATACGGCCAACTCCTTAATTTAACCAAAATTTTGAGTCCCCAATTAATTCCTATTAACTACTGTGTATTAAAAAAAATACCTTAATAAATTGGGCAACTGTCTAATTTGGGTAAAAAATCTTTGTCCCATCGCTTCCCAAATTTGGTAAGCTTTACTGTGTATAATATGCCATTTTAAAATAAAAATAGCCTCTTCTTGGCAAAAGTTCTGGCTACTAGCCTGGTCAAAAAACCAAAAATTTCATATATTATCTACTTATACGAAGTTAAAATATCTATACTTTCTTCTCTTTTTACCATATTCCTTTTTCTTTTCATTCTGATATTATTTATATATTTTATCTTAAAAAAATATTTGTACAATTATATTTTTCTGCATTTTACAGCCAACAATCTTTTAGATTGTCCGTTGAAACCTTATGACTCTACTACGGGCCCCAATCAGAATGGTTTTAACGCATCTCTCCCAATAAACTGGCTATCAGATTGGTCAGATTCAGGTCATGTAGGCGTAGAAAAATCGATTTCCATTAGTCAGTTTCACAGCGATGGCCACGTGATCCGCAGTTGTCACGCTGGCTTTAACGCGCGTTCAATTGACCAAAAGGGTACAAGAAAAACATTTACAAAATTTATATAAGAGACTTTAAGAAATAATATCCTAAAAATATTAAAAGTAGGAATCGGGCCTAGGATTAAAAAAAATTGGCCAGACTTTGGCTTGAAAATTTTTTTTCTCAACTCCAATAAACAAGGTAAATAGGAAAATGCATCAAGATGATATAAGAGTTTATCTTACAACCCCTCAATAGTAATTTGATTTGTATGCTACATCACCTCTTTTAAAAATATAAAAAATTACATTGTTTTTTTATCAAAATAATATAATAATTAGAATTAATCTGCGATAAGGACCAATCAAATAGTGAAACAAATAGTGATATGTACTGCATTTATCGCCCGGAAAGGACCGATAAATAGCATGATTTTAAAAAATTCAGGCTGGACTTAAAAATATTTAAAAAAATTAAAAATCCACTTTAGGCTGATTTTTAAAAAATATAAATTTTACTAATTAATCAGTTGGAAAGCTTATGTGGGAACGCTTAATACTCTTATACTGATCATATTTTAAAAAATATGAAGGGAAAAAATTCTAGGGATTAAGAAAGAAAAAGAGAAAAATAATAATAAAAGAAAGTAATTAATGGAAAGAATGATTGAAAAATGTTTAAAAAAAAGATCAACAATGTAATCAGAGACCAGCGGAGGGTACTAATTACATGTCCTGGCGTGGATTTTTTATAAAATTATGTATTTCGGCCCTATTATTATTTAATTTTTTAAAAAATAAAATTTTAAAGTCAGGGTTTTTTTCAAAAATATACTAATTCTTTATTTTGAGGTTCGTTTTTTTGAGCTAATGTTAATATGAAATCATTTAATGTCTAATAACATTTAAAATTTCTATCTTAAAATAAAGATTATTTAATACCAAAGAAAAGCTATATTTGTGTTCATTTTAGGTGAAGGGTATTTTATTTTATAATATTATCTGTTTGATTGACCAAAGATAAAAATTATAATAATTATTCTCTAAATTAATAACTATTTTATTTATCTAAGTGTACAGTAAAGTATATAATTATAATGATGTTGTTGGTTATATTGTAAGTTATTTTCTATTAATTTATAAAATAATTACATATAATATTAGTTAGATTTGGTTATTTTGGTCTGGAATTGAAGGCACAGTTGTTTAAAATGAGAAAATCAACATTAAAGTTTAAAATCATACCGGAAAAACTTATCGATTAATTTAATTAAAAATTTCACAAATAATTTATCATATTACTAATTAATTATAGTCTAAAAATTTAAATATAAAATTTATTTGATAAAATCAAAATGCAGGTGAAGCAAACATAACACCTTATGATTTATTTTAATGTTCAAAATGCTCCATTTACATATTTTTTTATTAGAATTTAATAAATAAATTCAAAATAATAGCTTCAAATCATTGAAACTAACATTATATTTTATTAATTTTTTTCTAAGTTATTCTTACAATTAATAAAAATGCATATAAAATAAAAATAATAATTAATTAATAATTATTTTCATATATTCTTTATTAGCTTATTTTAATCTTTTCTAGGAGCCAAATAAGTTCCAGCATTGCGGTATAAATTTTAAAGAAATAACTAATTCGTTTATTACTTATATCAAGTGTTTGTAAAAAAAATTGTCTGCAAACTCTGACTTTAACATTTTTTACTTTATAAGTATGAATAGTTTTATAATTTAAAGAATCTTTTGCCCTTCTCTTACATGGAGTCAACAATAAATTTGCAATAGAAAGATCCCTTAGCTTTATTAGCTAAGCCTCAAAAATCCTCATGAATATTTCTACTCTGATCTGCATTAACTTTTTTATGACATTGAAATATATATTTATTAGAATGATCATTCTGAACCATCCTTGCTTTTTTCAAATCACCTTTAATATTGATATAGGTCTCACCAATTTTCTTAGTCTTTTTCTTTCATTTGCTTTACTTGAAGTTGAAGGGCTAGATAAAGTAAAAATAACAAGATTCCTTAATTCAATTTTTATTATTTAATGAGCAAAAAATGCTTAATAATTTATTTAAATGACGAGCAAGTGGATTATTAAAAAATTGTGATAAATTTTACATAATATTTAATTTTAAATTCAATTTTTATATCTTTAAAGATCACACATGAAAACTATATTATGAATACTATAAAATAACAAAAAATTTACCTTGATATTGAATTAATTTGGGAATAGATATGGAAGGAAAATATTTTACGATTCAATATGGAAAGCGAAAAATTAAAAAAGGAGGGAAATACAACACATGATTAAATAAGATAATAGGATAGGCCATGCATAAGAAAATTACATCTTTATATGCAAATAGCACAAAATCGACAGCAACTTTGGCAAAATTTAATATTTTTTAATCTAGTTTTTATTTTTATATATATTGAGAATAAATAAGTTATAATCCACTTCTAGCTGAAAAATTTTGAAAATGTTGAGTAGAGCACTCCAATTCTAGACCTACGATATATTGTAATTGTTTAAATAATAAATATTTACTTATTTCTAAATTGTATATTCTATTTACCTAAGTATTTTCCAATGAGAGATATAAATGGTTTTGAAAGAAATATGAGAATCGATTATTATTAAGCAACAACTATAAATATCCTGCCCGGTTTTATGGAAAAGATATTTTTTCGGCCCGGCCCAAGTTGATGAAAAAAATTTTTTAAGATCCGACCTGGGTTTTTTTCAATAAAAATTTATATGCTCCTATTCTTTTTCGATAGATCGCCAAATGCCCGAAAACGACAAATCTAAAAATGATGAACAAATTTGGGAAGACGTACTGAATCGCATTAGTGCTCGCGAACTCTGCTCTCAAATGTTGAGCGGATTGAGTCATCTCCATTCACATAATATAGGTTATTTTGAAAGTTTATCATATAAATATGAAGGGACAAGAGAAAAGAACTAGGAGAATAAAGTTAAAAAAGAGATTGATGAAAGAGAAAAAAAATAGAAGAGTTAAGGAAAAAAAATTATTTTGTAATCTTTATAAATTTATTGCTACCCGTTAATGGTAAACGGTACATATATATAATACCTATAGTAGCTTTTATTTTAGAGTTAGACATTGAACTTCAAAACTGGAAAAGAAAAATATAAAAAAAATTTTATGGCGAATTTATGAGGTTTAAAACAAGGATGTGAACCCTTCGACAAAAAAAGGGTCCGGGTTCGGGTACAGGAATAAAATTTGAAAGGACCCGGGTACTGGTTCAGGGAACATAAAAATAATGACTCAAAATAAGATTTTTTAAATTCATTTATTATTATACTTTATTATATACATAGTCATAATTTAGAAATGAAATAATTTATATTTTAAATGTTTTATTCTCGCACAATCATAATATCTTCTAAAATACCATCCTTGAGATTTCCACGAGAAGTAGACAATATATATTTCAAAGATGAAAATTCACCTTCTACCCTTACCTAAAATAGATAGTTATCTTTATAAAATTATTGTACTTGTATCGCCGGTACAGTATGAAGATTCTAGATAAGATATATAATTCTGAATATATTGAAGAATTTTCTTCCCAGAATTTTAAAATATTTATATTCTTATTTATTCTCTTATTCTGACTTTACTATTAAAGATGCAATATGCATTTTTTGATCCTCCTTTCTATTTGATGATAATTTGATTTTTTTTTCTCTATCTAAAAGTAAAATTTCAAGATCATCAATGTTGCTATAATTATTATTATCACTATAACCACTCCAATATATTGTAAATAATGGAGTTTTGCTTTATGCCATAAATCCTTAAGATGTTCTTTAGCCATTTGTTTTTGATCAATACTCAATTATCGAGGGTCTAAATATAGCGTATACAACACTATTTTGCAAATATTGTTGCTCTCGAATTTTCATGTTTTCTAGTATTTCATATAAAAAGGACTGTAAATTTTTCTAAATCTAATCGGCATCTAATCCATATGCCTTAAAATCAAATAAACATAATTGTTCTGATTGTAATCTTAATATTGTTATTTTTAAAGGAACTAATACACTAGTAAGGTCCTTTATTTGGCACCAATCTTCATCCGACAAAATGACTTCACATGCTCCTATAATAAAATCATTACAGAAATCTTTCAAACTTAATAATCGTTCTAGCATCATTCAAATTGGGGACCAACGTGTTGTGCATTATCATTTAAATTAAAATATTACTTGTACTACAAAATAATTCACTTTTAAAATAATCAACGTATTTCTGTAACATAGCATATTAATAAACTTACATAATAAAATATTATTACGCTGGAAAATAATTTATGATATCAATCTCTAAATAAAATGGAAGTCCAGGAAGAAAATTGGAAGAAAAACGCGTAAAATAAATGATTCCACAAAAAAAGTTAATTAAATTTTAAAAAATTTATATTATTTTTTAAAAAAATATTTTTATTTTTAAAATTTTTTATGACATCTAGAACCCTTGGACCCTCCACTTTTAAAAAGGGTTCAGGTTCGGGTTCACATTCCTGGTTTAAAATACAAAGTTTTTTAAGTAATCTCACGAGCTTAATATGGAATTATTGCAATGAAAACCAGTGTGTTTATTTTTTTAATAGATTTATCAATCATTAAATAATTAAAATTTTGATAGGTAATCATATAAAGATGACTGGTGTATGCACCGTTAACCATCTAGCAGAAGAAATTATTAAAAAAAATTTTTTTTTGAGCCACCCAACATTAAATCGAATAATATATTGTTCCTTTTATAATATTTTATCTATTCGATCAAATTATATGAAATTATTCGGTTCATAAATATTCGAAAATATTATTATTTGTAACCTCTTCCTTTGCCAAACATTTTATTTTAATTTAAATTTATTTAATTTTTTCTTATTATGCACCTGTTTTGTCAATTCAATTAAAATTATGAAAATATTTTTTAAAACAAAACATACAAATAACTATTTTAAAATATAACTATTCATTTTTTTGGGAATGTGTAGTCCCACCTCCGTTTTTATAAAATAATGTTTTATTTTATATTTGATATGTTAATTTTAATATTATAAACTATGTTGACTAATTAAAAAATCAAAATTATACTAACTAAATTAATTATATTTGATTTTTAATTAAAATTTTAAAATGAATTGTTTTCTAACAATTTGACAAGCACTTGCTCAACTTTTGTCTTAAGATACTGCTGGTGAATTGATTCATAATTCAATTGATGACGACATTCCAGGACCATCTTCTACAAGAAACTATTCTGTAATTTCTCGCAATTTAAAATGGAGAAAAACAAGATATTATATTACAAATCCTTTCGATGGTTAAGAGGATATAATAAAATTTGAAAACGATTTGCATAGTAAAAGTCCATCAGATATATTTTCCTTAATTTTCGACGAAGACTTATTCCTAATTGTAGTTCAAAGTAATATTTATGCAAAACAAATGAATATGCCTAATTATGTGCAACCATCCCAGATTTTAAGAGATTTAATGGAATTCTATTATTTACCTGATATCATTCGCTCCCACAAGAAAGGATGTTTTGGTCTAATGATAGTGATATTTATATTCCAATACTCGGGAATATAATGACCCAATTGCAATTTTGAAATATAATAATCATTTGGCAACACATAAGCTAGTTTGCACAACAGAGTGAAAACCTTACTGATTTATCTGGACATTATTTATTTAAAATTATAGATGGAAAAAACGTAGATATACGCACTAATAGATGTATGTACCAACTTCATGTTAAATGTTAAAAGGATTTTCGTAATATATAAACATTTTCTCGTTTTTATTATGAATAACAAAAAAACAATAAAGATTTCTGTTGCTTTTTTATCTTATGGTATTATACATAATTTTTATCTTTTTTAACCTCTTAATAATTTACTGCAAATATGCACCAGGCTAGATTTTCTATTTAGGATTATTTTTCTGGCTCATTTTTTTGAATATCACATTTAGGCCTTAATCAATATAATTTGAAATAATTGAGCATTTTTATCCACCAGAAAAATCTAGTAATGGATTAAATGATATAATTAAACACGTTACATTTTTTATGTCTGCATTTCTGCAATATTTTTATACTAGCAGTGGCGTAGCTACGGGGGTGGTTTTCGGGTTTGGACCCTTCCCAGAGCAAAATATTTTTTTTAGATTATACGTTCAAAAGCCTTAAAAGTTACTTTATATCAAATAAATACAATGAATATTTATATTTTTCTATTTTTGATGTTCGTGGAAGGATAATATATTACTATTGAAATTATTCTGGATAGTATTATGATAAAATCATTGAGATAATCTACTAAATTATAATAATATATTATTGATGCATAAACTGTATTTATAATAAAATATCGAAGATATTGTTATGATTTTTAAGATAAACCCGGACAAAAGGGCCGAAGGCCCGTTAAATGGGGGTCTGGGGGGCGAAGCCCCAATCTTATATATGTATGAACCCCCTCTAAGGAAAATTCCTGGCTACGCCACTGTATACTAGTAAATTTTATAAAATCCTTATTCATTTTATTTCTCGTTTGTTTTTATTTATTCTTCTCTTTTATATATTTACCATTCATTTTTTTGTTTACTTTATTCCACTTTATTTTAAGTTAGTTTATATATTTTTTAACTCATTTTTTCCTTTCTTTTATTCACTTTATCTCCAATTTATTTTCTTATGTAATCCTTTCACAGCTAGACATCTAAAGGTTTCTATTTTTATTATTTATTTTATAAGTTCACCGGGACCTAAAACCTTCCAATATCCTCATAACATTTTCCGACTCTCAAAATCGAATTCGTGCCGTTATATCAGATTTTGGCATTTCAGCTAATTTTTCATCTGCTTCTGGTAGCAATAGCTGGGCCTCCACTTCGGGGGCGGGAGGCGGAACGTTGGGTTGGAACGCGCCAGAAATTTTGAGGAAAATGGGGGACAGCGACGGAAAAACCAATGATGTGAATCCTAAGAATTGATTTTTCTAAAATCGTTAAATATTTTTTTTATTGTTAAAGATAATTTGCGATCAGATGATCAAAATGGAGTATAATATAGATTTATCAAAAAAAAGCGGTGGATTATTTTATCATTTGATTAATAAATGATTATTTATTTTTATAATTTATTGTTGATATAAACCTTTGATTATTTCAAATCAAGACTTAATCTTTAGTGCCTTATATGTCAATCAATCGTATAGGATCAATACTATGATATATTTTAGACTAAATCCAACCATTTAAAAAATCACTTAAAATTAGTACTCCTCGGACCTTTTTTCCGCTGGTTGTGTGATGTTCTATGTAATAACCCGCGGGTGCCACCCGTTTGGCGGGACCGACCCTTTCGAAAGGCAAATCAATATACTTTCCGGCAAATGCGATTTGAAACAATTATCTCATCAAACTAATGGTAAATTTAAATGTTTTTATTTGCTTATATATTTGACTTTTTGATTCTTCTGGCCTTTTTAAAAAATAATTAATATCGGGCTTTACTTTAATTTTATGGGTAATATTTATTTATAAATATTTCTTTTATAGACGACATTTGCCTGCGTCATCTATTGAATCAAATGTTATCGACTGATCCCCAGATGAGACCTTTGGCTAAAACCTGCATTAACCACCCTTACTTCTGGACAGACGAAAAAAGACTCCAATATTTATTGGTACGAATCCATAAATATTTTATTCATTATTTCAATTTCATTACATTTATATAGTAGCTAATCTTGTATTTTTTCTTTCTAAAAAAATTATACTAATAAGTAAATTTTTTTGTATAAATAAATCTAAGGACCTAAGTGATTTGTTAGAAAAAGCGGATTCGAAAACGGAATTAGTAAAACGTCTTGAAAAATATTCGACATTCGTTTTGGAAGGGGGAGATTGGAAAAGTCGGATAGATTCTGAGTTGTCTTGCGAACTAAGGAAATACCGCAATTATAGAACGGATAGTGTTAGGGACTTACTCAGGGCTCTTAGAAATAAGGTAATTTCATTTACTAAACAGAAAGATATTAAAGAGAGAAATATAAATGTTATATAACCGATACGGATTCAAATTAAAAAGTACTATAGGTAAAACGATGAAGGGAATTTTTCAGTATAGATATTTTTATGTAAATTTAGATTAAACCCAATCTTACATTCATTATATCTAAAAAATTAAAATCCTTATAAGATGTTCCAAAGAATTTGGTTTAATTATCATCACGTGATTTTTGATTTGATTCAAAGTGTCATTTTTGAGATAACATTGATCATTAATACTTCCCAATCGACCCAATTTTTTTTTCTAAGACCTGAATCCTGTCCATACTCATATTCTTAGAAATAAGTCCGAGTTCGCCGAAATTAAAAATAATATTGAACTTAGGAAGTGTTGTGAGTTCGTTGGATAATTTTTGCACGCAAATTGTTTTTTTATATAATATATAAATTAATTGTTATTTCTAATTATTAAATGATGCAATAAGAAAATTGTATATTTGTAGAAAAATCGGATATGTAAATTAATAGTTATTTTTAATTATGATGAAGCAATGAGAAAGTATATATTTGTAGAAAGGCCAGACATGTAAATTAATTGTTATGATTGAATGATGCATGAGAATTTATTATATAAAGTAATAATACTTAATTTTTAATTCGATCTTTTATCACAGCTTTTACGACTCTTTGTATTTAATTAATTTCTCATTGATATAACAAATTCCAATAGGAAGAATCTCATTTTTTCATAAAGCGGAATAATTGATATTATTGAAAGGAATATATAAAATTATCAATATTAGGAAAATAAAATAATTTAAAAGGTCCAGTCCAAAACAATTTATCACTTATCCCACTTCGGTCTGAACAGACAGATCCTTGCAGAGCTCTAATATATAAGATCATGAGTTATGAGTCACTCAACTATTTTAAACGTTAATATTTTCTCATTTTTAATTAGGATGGAGGTAGATCAAACCAAAACTCAGTTTAGCGATATTCAGGGCCGTAGCCAGGAATTTTCACTTAGGGGGGCCAAGTGCTTACTTGGGGGGGGGGGCACTATTTTTTTAAAATCAAACAAATAATTACGCATTCATAGAAATTTTTTCCCATTTTTATTAAAAATTTAATAACAAAATAATACTATAATATGAATATACAAAAAAAAATAAACTATAATATGCATATACAAAACAAAATATTACTATAAAAGAATACGGCGATTTTTATTTTTAAATTTTAATATAAATGAACTAAAAGATAAATTCTGCGTTATTCTTTTTGCATACGCCATTAATACTAAATTTTGTTTACGTTTATCCTTCATAGACTCTCTACTGCTCGATAAAACTCTCTTTAATGTAGAGAACGAGGCCTCACAAGAAGCCGTTGATATCCCAATGATTATCGCTGCTGAGTAGCATTTATATAATTCTTTAAATGCATGATTATATTTTTTTTTATACATAATATGTAAGATGTTTTCAAAATTATGATTTTCTTTAGCTTCCGAAGCTAGCAATCCTTTTGCTATCTTCATTTCATGATGCAGTGTTTCCATATTTAAGTTTAACAGGGATTTTAATGGGGCCATTTTATCTGATAAAAAATAATCAGGGTCAAGGGGGAACAATGTATTAAAAGATGAAAAAAGATTAAAATCATCTTCTGTAAATCGGTCTAAAAAACGATCCACAAAGTTATCTATAATTTCATAATATATCCTTTTTAAAGAACTCCAATTGGAGTCTTTTTCACAATCGAATTCTAGTTTGCTATCAACTAAAAAATCTTGGAAATTTTTAGGCGTTTTACGTACCCGTGATGATTTTTGGGGAGTGAGATTAAATTTTGATAAAAGTTTTTCAGCCTTAATCATAATCAAAGCAAAAGAATTATCACCTCTTTTATTTTTTAATATATTGATAGTAGAATCAATACAATTTTTAGCATCCACTAAATTAGTACCTACTGATTGTAGATACTTATTTAGTGGATCTATTGTAATTAATATCTCATAAATTATGATGGCTAATATAATGTAATTTATATTAATACATTGAGATAAAAGACCAGAGGCTTCGACTGAATCATGAATTGAAACCTCGGAATTAAGATAGCCTCAAAATTCTCATAAATAATGCGAGATGTTTCTAAATGACCAGTCCATTTCTGGTCTAAAAGTCTCTTAAGGGTGTGGCCTGTATATTTACAGGATACGTTAAAACGCCTGAAAAAATTATACAATGCATTTGATAAATTAAAAAAATTAGAAATAATAACAATATTATTATACCAATTTTGAACCACAAGATGCAACTTGTGGTTGTAGCAATGTATAAAAGGAACATTTTTATTAATTTTTTTTTGAAGAAGTGTTTGCACTCCTCCATTTCGGCCAGACATAACGTTTGCACCATCATATGCCTGGCTTATTATATTAGCTGAATTAATATTTAGATCATTAAGTTGCTTTAAAATGCAATCTGTAATGCTTTCAGCAGAAAGACACTCTAAATTAATGATTCCTATTAAATTTTCTTGGATTTCTCCAGAAAAAATATAGCGAATTATTATGCTCAGATATTCACAACCTGAAGCATCTTTTGTCTCATCGGCCTTAAGACAAAAAAAAGGCATCTCGCTTTTATTATATTTGTCTGAAATATGTTCAAGCACCATATCTGCCATAATGGATATTACTTCGTTTTGAATCTGTGGTGATGTATACTGGGCATTTTGGGGTATAAATTTCATAATTTTATTTAATTCAGGGTCTTTTTGGATGGTGTAGGAAAACATTGCTATAAATAGTCCAGAAGAATAAATTATGTTTTCATCTTTTGCAGCATCCGTAATATTTGTTGAACCAGTCCCACGGAAAGGTAGCTCTTGTATGCTAAGAAACAGCATCAAATCAAATATTGATTTAATATAATATTGATTACGATTAATTTGATCACCTCCCAACATTTTAGTTATTTCTGTACCATTGTTTATATTTTGATTTTTATCATGCCATATTGTAATTGAATTTAAATGAGCTTTTGAGCTCTCGTGTTTAAGCAGTCCCTTCTTGGCAGCTAACGCATTTTTCCAATTTCTGAATCCCGTTTGTCCAAATTCATCACTTGGATTACACAAGTATTTCCTACATGGAAAACAAAAGGCAGCGTCAGCTTCTACACTATACTCCAACCAGTCTCGGACTCTATACCATGATTTTTGAAATGATCTTTGCCTTCCATGGATATCTTTTTTCGCGTAATTGTTTAATTTGATTTGATTTGGTTTATTCTGGCCAAGGTCACCAGGGATTTGAATTGAACCATTAGAGGACTTTTTTGACACTAAAAATTTTATAATTAATAAATTGTAATGAGGGAAAGGGTCATAAATAATAATGGTCATCAGGATGGGCGAAGGAAGGGCATGCTGAAAATGAACAAACACAAAATTTATCTTGTATTTAAGATACAAGTTACTGTAGTGCCCCCCTGATGAAGATTATCAGTAAAATTTCAGTATTAATAACTAGAAAAAAGTCATAAACATTATATCTTTAAAGATTAACAAAAAAATATAATATTTTTATATTTATAAATCAATTACTAGTTGCTTCTTGACAATGAGAGACTGAGCTGCTAGATGAAGATGATTGAGTCTCTTCTTCGTCTTTATTTGTTTTAAAATCAAAATGTAATAATGAAACACCATAATCTCCTACTCCTATTCATATTGTCAAAAATATATAAATAGAAAAATTTGGGTTAAATTTTAAACTATTTACCATCTTCCTCCTCTTGATTTTCTAGATTAGCTTCATTCATATCTTGAAATATGAGTAAATATATTTATTTTAATAATTAAAATTATTATACAAAAATGATAATATTAATAATAAATGTCTTTCTCTTGTATTAAATAATAATATACAAATATTGCCCTATATCAATATCATATAAGTCATGAAATAATAATATAAATTTATACTAACTATGAGAAGAATCAGTTTCTGAAATTTCTGATGTAGTATTACTAGTAGTTTGTAGAGGTGATGTTGCTTGACATTTGTTTAACTTTAACTTAAAATAAGAGTTTATAATTGATTGTTTCTTCATAATTTTAAAATAAACGCTCTAAAATAAAATAACTGGTTATATATTATAATATTAATGTGATACCTATAGAGAATGTGATACACAACAAAAACAGATGAAAAAAAATGAATGAATGATAATTTAATATTGGGTAAAAATAAAAATAAAACAGGATAAAAAAAATTTTACAAACTAGATATGTTTGTAGAATAAATATTCAAAATTTATTTTAGAAATATAAAAATAATCAATTCTAAATAGACATGTTTTTTGAATAAATATTTAAAATTTATATTAAAAATATAAAAATAATCAATTCTAAAAAAAAAATTCAAATTGGGGGGGGGGGGCAGAAAAATTTTTGCTGGGAACCAGGTTTGGGGGCCAAAAATTTTTTTTTTTTGGGGGGGCCCCCCGTGGCTACGGCCCTGGCGATATTAATCAATCGCTATATTTATCTCCAAATGCGATATAAAAGGCGTATTTTAAATATTTAAATCATTGATATAATTTATAAAGAAAACCCATATTAAAAAAAATTTAATTTTTTTTTACATCTTAATATATTAAATGGTATTTTCACAATAGAAGCACCACTACCAAGAGTTGCCAGACACTCTGAAGCTTTCCTTAGGACCAATCCCAGGGAAATTTTTGGAATATTTCACTTCCAGATTTCCATACTTGTTGATTCATTTGTACACCACTTATCAAACTTTAATGAACCATAAAAATCATAAAGATATTCGTATTTTCGACAAATACTTTTAAGTAGTTAAGTTTATATTCACCTTTATTCTTTATATTTTAAATCAATTCGTTTCTCGTCATATCTCAAGTGACGAGATAGAATGTAGAAATAAAAAATTAGCAAATTTTTATTATTTTTTAGCGATATTTAATTAATATATATTTTTTTTGTAAGAATCGCCTATTCATTTTTTTTTAAATTATAGAATGGCAATATATCTAAAAAAGCTAGAGAGAAAAAAATTGTATATTTATTTTAACCTTTTTCATTCTATACGTTTAATATTTTATATGAATATCGGTGCTATAAACCTGGGATTTATATTTTTTCTATTGTAATTTATTAAATCATGTTTTTTTAGTATTAATCAATTTCGTTTCCTAAAACATCTTTCCCTCAATCGCATTGTCGTTACAGTAGTTGTTTTTTATTACAAACCTTCTGATAATAAAAAATTAATTCTCTCTTATTTCATTTGATTAGCAATAAAATCCTTATAAAATAATAACACAAGGAATTCAATATGACTAAGAATTATTCATCACATGATCTCTCGTCATCCTAATTTTCTTAAATAGTATATTTATAACACGTGATTATCCATTTATTTATCTATATAAAAATGTTTATCATTCCTTAATATAATTTATTTATTCGAGAAATTACCTAATTATTTATGAATTTGTATATATTATATGTATATTTATTTATTATATAGATAATATGTAATTCTAATTATTTTAAATTAATAAAATAATATACAAAATTTGAAAGAAAAGTGTATGAAAATAAAATATAAGGACGTTAATAATTTATATATTATTTATAGAGTAATTTTAAAAAAATCCTTATGATTTAATATTAAATGTTTCTTAGTATAATTTTATGTGTAGATATTAGATTAAACATAACTTTATATATATAATCATGGCCTTTATTCTGTTTTCTTTATAAAAATCAGAAAACCAGGTAATATTACATTTGAGTATAGAGATTTACAAATTAATGTTTAAAACCTGAAATATAAAAATAAATTGATCTAAAAAAATAGTAAATGAAAAGCAATATTAGAAAAATAATACATATTTAGTAAAACAGTAATTTTTAGTTTGAGGAGTAAAATGATAATTAAAAAAACTAATTGAAAGAAATTTTAAAGTATCTTTGGAATTAACTTCAAAAATTATAGTGGAGTATAAAATTTGGCAAAGTAAGCAATCAAGAGTTGTTTCATTGTATAGTCATTTTATAAAATAAGATTAATAGATATTTCTGCAAAAAATAAAATAAATGAGGGTTGGTAAAAAGACAGAAAAAAATTTTAATCAAAAATTTGACGAAAAATGGAAGAAGGCGGCACACTAGTAGCTAAGCTTGTAGAATTTATATTAATATCGTTATCACTGTTAGAATGGTCCCGATCTCTGCTTCCGGTTGGTGAGATCAAATCAGGAATGGGATACTCAATTAAAGGACTTACACTTGTTGATAATCTATGATCCATAATATTTCTATGTGTTAGGCGGGTGTATTGTGTTTGACGGTAATAAAGTTTGAGAGCTCCTTTGCAGGTTAGAAAAACTAAGCCACCCTTTTAAAAGTTATATATTTTATAGTACATATATGTACTATATTAATATACTTTGATATAATTTTATTTTTCCTTTCTCCTAACTTTTATAAATTTTTGATTTATTTTTCCATTACTTTCCTTTTATTTCTCTTTCATTACCTTCCCCTAAGAACAAATTTTTCAAAATATTTTCCAGTAGAAAATTTTTTTAAATAATATAATTTGTTTTATACCAAAAGAGTTCTTTGAAGATGAGATTTGAGGTTAGGAGCTATAAACCTTCCCACAATACTAGCTAAAGTGGGTAATATCATGGCACCACAAAGGACACGTGTTGCAGACACATGATCGTAAGTCAAGTGATTTAACCCATTACCATTCTGTTGCAAGTTTGTTTCGCTATTTGAATCGCTCGAATTTGTTGGAGGAATATCATATACGTAATTATTTTGAATTTGATGATCGTTGGCAAAATGATCAAAATCATTCATTCTCTCAGAACTATTAATTATAGATTGGTCAGATGAGACAGGAAACAAGATTTTATTGTAAATATAATCTAATTTTGGAGTGTGTTTTCTCCATAGCTGAAGAACTTGGTCCTCCCAACGGATCATTTTACCTTATTTATTATTAAGATTGTGCCAATAAATTGCACGAATATATTGATCATATATAAACAATTTCATCATTATTCCCACTATCTTCCATCTAAATAATCTTAGCCCTTCCTTTCTAAAAACAAATAGATTAAATCATTTTGATTATCCGAAAAAGACATTTTTTAAAAATTATAATTATTTTTTAAAGTAGACCTTGCAAAGTGATTTTTTCGCGGCCCGAGCCTGAATTTAACATTTTTTTGTCCGATCACACATTCCAACCCCAACCGAACCCGAATAAAAAATTTTTTTATAATTTGAGTTTAAATATTTTAATATCTAAGAAAAAATTATGTGTATTTATTCACATATTGCCACTTATTCCCACGCAAACCTTTTTTAGAATACTTTATTTTTTTAATTTTACCGTTTTTTAATAAAAAGGCAAATAAACTATATTGAGTCTTTTAGGGCAAAAAACCTTAATCAATATGGTCAATAACATTAATTCTACCGAAAACAAAAATGCAACAATCACAAATGATAAAAAATTTATTTACATTTCTATATTATATTTAATTAATAAACAGATAAAATTTTAAAATATTTCAAATATATCGGCCCCAACCCCTCATACATCAATTAGAGATTTTTTTAAAAAATTCATAAATATTTATCATTATAATTAATTTACAAAAAATAGGAAAATTTTTTTATCCATTCAAGACTTAATATCAGCTAAAAAAATATAAAAATTTATGATATCACTTTCAAGTACTGGTCAAAATATAAAATATTGGCTGATACCTATCAGCATATCTATGATTCAAAGTGACATGAACTAGTGATCTACACCTGGTCTAAGTCCGACCCAGCTCCCAAATTGTTTTTAAAAAATTTCCTGCCAAGCCCAATCAAATATTTTTTAATTTGTCCTTAAATGCCCAATCTAAAATAACAATTATTTGTCCATTAAGACTGGCCCAAATTTATGTAAATAAAGAAAAAAAATTCTCTTTATTGTAAAAAAATATATTCTACAAATAAAAATATTAGCGCCTTGTTTCTTGCAAAAATTTTAAAATATATCAATTTATTTGACAAAATGTAATGATATCTTATTTATTATCAACTTGGCCACAAATTTTTTAAAAAATATCAGGCCCAAGCAGGGTTGTCAGATATTTTTCATTTGAAAACATGAGTATTCATAATAATTTATGGAAGGCAATCAATATAGTATACTTATCATACTTAATATGTTATATTTAATGCAAAAAGATCTTTTAAGACAATATTCAATTTAATCTTTTTTAATTGATTTACTATTACCTATTATTATAATGTATAATTCTTCCAAGTTTATAAATATAGCATAATATTAATTATTATATTTTATAGATGATATTAAAAGAGATTTAGCAACAGTACTATGGAGATAGGCTAAAAACTTTTTGCATGTATAATTATAACATTGTTTAATCATAATTTCTTCCAAAGAAAATGACTATAATCCATTACATTTTCACCAACTAGTAGTCAGTCAGTAGGCTGACTATTCTCTCTGATGACACATTTGAATATGGAATGGAAAATATAATTGCATATTTTCTCTATTAAAGGGGAGTTGTTATTTGAAAGGAAATTCATCCATTCTAGAGAGTATCTGAATCTATATTTGGTATTTTATAATTAATAGTAAATTTTTGAAATTCATAAAATGCAGGCTTCTGATGTCATAAGGCCAATATATTTCCCTATAATATCTATAATCATAGTGTATTTCTATATATTCTATATTTTTTACAACATCTTGATTCATTTTTGAAATTCAAAAACTTTTCTTAATCATTATTTGTAAAATGTTCAAGGAAATACTGCAGTAAAAATTGTGTTAAATTTTTAAAAATCCTTAAGTATTTTGATTAATGTATATATAGCTTAGACATCTTCAGATTGTAGTTGTAAATTTATGTTATTCAATAAATTGCTAACATTAAGGAATGCCTAAATATTTCTCCTAAATTAAATATTGAGAAATGGATTGGTTTATTGGACTATTAACAAATATTAAAAAAAATTTAAAACTTTATATTTGTTTTTAAAAATAATTGTTTAAAATTTATAAAAAGTATGATATTATAATTTGCTCAAAAAACATAAGAAAAGTGTAAAGTGTGAGAAAACATGATTGAGTAAAAAATTTAGTATGAAATCCTGCAAATCACTTCTAAATAAACCCTGTACCCAACCCAGCCCAAATCAAAATTATGTCTGGAGTCATGATTTGCAGATCCCAAACATGATTCTAACTCAAAAATATTACATAAAAAATCTAAGCAAAAATTTAAAAACAAAATAATTTTTCAATTTAATAAATAATCAATATATTTTTTATATAAAATTTACTTACTTAATATTAAAATAATTGGTATTGCTGGTAACCCAAGCAATAGAAGCATAGGGTCAGCTGATTCTAAAAGTTGGAGACCTTCTTTGTGTCCAACAACCTATAAAATTTAAAAAATATAATGCTTTAAAATTTAAGACAAAATTATATATTCATATTTATGTGATATAATGGTTTTTAGATAGGTATTCATTGACAATTAACATACACCTGCATAACGGTTACAGCTCCATAAGTAACAGCTGTCCAATAAACTGTTCCCACTATAATACCAGCTGCTATAAATGGACAAATTTTAAATATTATTTTATCTATTTGTTCCAGAATATATATAACTGGTCCTGATATTTGAATTAACACTAAAAATAGGGCTAAATTATAAATACCTGATTTTGGTAACAATATTACATATTGAAACTTGCATTGCGGGCATGAAACTGCTTGTGACTGATTTCCTTTCTGTTTTTCATCAATCCACCGTTGAAGACAAGCCTGGTGTACCCATTTAGTTGTGCCTTTACATCTACAAGGTTGAACCCATTGGTGCAAATAATATTTTGACCCACTTTGATAAAATTCGTCCATATCGTCTTGCTCTGTGGCAAAACAGACCCAACAATGTTTCCTATTTATGAATTATATATTATTTCAAAAAATTGGCAATTAATTAAACTTTATATCTTCGTTATTTTCTTGCATTTCATATTTCGAAATATAAGAATTATTAAAAACAGATTGATGACATATGCCTCAACCACGTGATATAATTAATAATAAATAATGAGCCCGGAAAATATGTATTTAAAAAGAGGATTAAATGTTAAAAAAGCTTTTTCAGTTGCATTTATTTTTCCTAAAATTGGGGCATTGTATTTATTGTCTTTTTTGCGGATCTCGGTTTTCTATGGCATTTTAGCTGGGATTCAAAAATTATCTTAAGTCATAGGTTTATTCAGAAATATTTAATCCTATGATATTTTTAAATATATTTTATCGAAAATATGTTAATTTTAAGAATTAATATGTCGGTCAATTTAAATCTTTTGAAAATATAGATGTGAAATTTTCAATATTCAAATAAATAATTAAACATATGGCTATATATTGTATAACCTCTCCATGGTTAAATTTTTAAAACCTACAAATTAATGCAAAAGAATAATTATCACTTAAATAATTAAAGTTGACATAAAATAACGGAAAGTAAAAAGGTTTAACCACAACAATCCCATCCGTTTAGTTTATAGGCGTTTTACCGATTATATGTACTAATATTGGTAGCCAATTATAACATTGAAAAAAGCTGAATGGTTGTGTGTCTTTTTCCATCAACTAATCCGATATCTTAGAATTGACGCCATCCCCTTACCTACACATAAATATTAGTGTGGTGGAAAATTTGGTTATATAAAACAGCCTTTGAGACAAAAATGAAAGTAATTGCACTAGTTTATCAATTTCGATTTTTGTATGGCTAGTTAATTGCGATAACAAAAGAGGAGGGCAATTAAAGTTTATAAATGATGATAATACTTTTTAGTTCATCTATTTTATCTATATGTCGAAATTTTATTTGTATGAACTTTCGATTTTATCCCATTAATTTTATTTTCAGTTATATATTTCTTTTTATATGATTTTAATTTTTTATTCTTCAAAATTATATTTGAAATAAATTCTTGCTTTACAGTACAGCTTTCCTGCCACAAATCATATGTTGTAAATCTTGAGGACTCATGCCTTGATGTATTTGTAGCAAATACTACACCAGGCAGAACTCCTGACCAATCAGTTTTTAAGTGCGTGATTTAGATTTTTTCCTACTAGTTTGTGATATACTTTGCTAACTTCTTGCCAACTTCATTCACAAACTTGTGGCCCTATAATTAATTTGAATCTAAATATAAATAAATTTTGTTCTTATAAAAATTTATTATCAGACCTTGGCCCTGAAGTCTGCATAATAATCTATATAAAAAAAATCATTGTATTCGCCGTTTAATTCTTTAAGGGCTGCACTTCGACATTTTGAAAAATAATCTATTGTAATTGCTGATTTGCGATTATAATTGAAGTATAAAATAGTTTTCTGTACCAATCATAGGACATATGAAGTAATCAATAATTATAGGCGCATAAAGAGTAATCCAAAGTAAACGAAATAAATATAATACATGATAAATTATTCATAATACATAATCTCTCAATTTTAAGAAAAATGTTTTTTATATATACATTAAAAAATTAAATAATCATAAAATAATGATCAATCATTAAGTTACTCAAAACGAAAAATAAAATGTTCTTCGTTTAAAATTGAATTTAACTTAAATGATAAAATAATAAAAAAATGTAAATTGTAAGTTAAAATAAAACGATAATATAAACTGATTTTTAAGTTAATAAACATAATCTTTTTTTGTCATGCCGTTTAAAATAAATATATTTGAAACAAAACGAAAACGTATATCTAACATTAATAATTTTAACATCATCACTCTCTGGCAAGGAACACAAATCTACCAATGTTCATCTCCATACTGTAGATATTTTGGCAAAAATCACAGCATCTAACAAAGTCAAAAACATCTTGTCTCATTACTTGCCACCAATATCTAAATGAAAGATAATTATCTATACTATTTATAATTGAAATGCTATGTGTTTTTTAAAGTCTTATAAGTATTTTAAAATATTATTAAAAGTTAGAAATAAAATTACTCTTTAGCTCAACCCTAATGTTCTTAAAATAACTAATACGTAACTAGTTCCTTAAGAAAGGGTTAATTTCTGCAAAATTTTATACATTTTTGTGCCATCAATAATATTAATATTCATTGAAAATTTTAAAAAAAATCTCCATTATAAATTTATATCTTATCTTATATAAATATTGTTATAAATAGTTTTATTTATTAATATTAAATAAATTTTTTTGTGTGAGTCATGAAATATTTTTTTTTGTGTTTGGAATTTTATTTTTAATATTTTTTTTTAAAAGTTTCGCGCAGTCATCATGAACATTATTATATAAATATTTTTAATATTTATTATGTAAAAATAATTTAATATTTATAAAGTAAAAAATAATCATATATAAACTAAAAAAAAGTGGAAATTGATGATTATTATAATTATATTTTTTATATATTTTTTTTTTTTAAATCCTTCTTTCTTTAAAAAAATAAAGACGAGATATTAATCCTTGTTGTGAAATTAATAAAAAAAGGTAAAAAAAAATAAAGACTTTGCGTTTTGAAATAATAAGAACTGCTAAGTTAAACGTTTCTGTGCATTGAAACTTTGAAATTGGTGGTCGTAATATCATATAGTGGTATTTGAGTCTATATCTACGGTAAAATATCATATAGTGGTATTTGAGTCTTCGAGTGAAAAATATCATATAGTGGTATTTGAGTCTTGAAGTGAATTGTACATCGTCTTCATCATCTACATCTACGGTAAAATATCATATAGTGGTATTTGAGTCTTCGAGTGAAAAATATCATATAGTGGTATTTGAGTCTTGAAGTGAATTGTAAATCGTCTTCATCATCGACATCAGCTGTCCATTTATTTAATTAATTTATTTTTTTCTTCTCTTCTCTTTCAAAATTAAAAAAAAAGTCTTATCGTACGGAAGTGCTGTCCGAATTTTACGAGTTGTAAATCTGTTACACAAAATTTGCTCAAATTTTTGTCGTATCTTTAGACTTATTAACTGTAGATGTACATGTGTATTATTGGATTGTTTACACTATTAATAATATCATATCTATTAACATTACAAATAACCAAAATTTTTATTTTAAAATTAATTAAAAATTTTTTATAAGGTCGAAATGAAAAGTTTAAAATTTGTAAAATACTGGGAAATACAGTATAATATTTTTGGGGCATTGATTATATTAGTAATATGGATGTGTAGCTTAATATGGGGAAGAAAGTTGAGAAGAAGTCGAAGTGTGAAAATAAAGGGGCAGACATTGACGATAGAAGGACATAATGGGGAAGAGGATGTTATGGGAAAGGTAACATGGTTCCCAGTGCAGGAGTTAATTAATGGGTGGACGGATAGCGAATTAGATAAATTAACCTATAGGCCTGAAAGGAGAGATTCATATACTAATCAGAGATTGGGGACATATAGGGGACCTAGAGAAAGTTCTCAGGGAAGGAGAGGAGAAATGACACCCAACTTTGATTCTAGAGTAAGGGGGAGAATGAATTGTTATAATTGCGGAAGACAGGGACATATGGTCAGAGATTGCCAAGAAACGAAATGTTTTGAATGTGGAAAATATGGACATATAGCCACGTTTTGTCCAGGAAGACGTGATAAGCTACGATGTGAAGGTTGTGGTCGATTTGGTCACAATAGGGAGGAATGCAATGTGGGTAATTTCAAAACTAGAGGCGGTTTTCCACAGAGGGACATGGGGCAAAGTGCTCCAAATGTTAGAATTATATAAGTGAAAAAAATAAAGAGGTAGGAATACCATTTTTGGCTGTGAATAAAGAGCAGAATAGAATCTGTTTCCGTTGCCGGAAGGAAGGACATGGGGCGAGAGATTGCGAGTATTTGTGACTATATGATGGCAAAGAGCATGCCGCAAAGGTCGGGGGGCTTTGGGCGAAAGAGATGGAAAGATTAGATTATAGTGAGAAAGATTGGGTTTCAAAGGGCATAAATATGATACAAGAGGAAAAGATACATGATCCTTGCCCTAGAGTTTGGATAAATTTGAATGGAAATATGGTATCCATGTTATTTGATACCGGGGCAGCCATATCCGTGATGGGATATGAGAAATATCAGAGTATTTGGTCGGAAGGGATAATTAAACGGAAGGACATCAAGATCCGTCAGTTGGATGGATCAGAAGTCGCAGTGATGGGAAGGGTGGAGTTAAAGGTGGTATTAGAGAATAGAGTGGAGATTTTGGACTTATGGATAGTAGATCGAAAAGTAGAGCCAGTAGTGGGATGGGATTGGATCACCCGAATTGGTCCAGATTGTGGTTTTTGGGGGGTATTCGCATGGTGTGGTGTATTTTTACCTGTTGCAAGATGTGAAGAAAATAGAGATATGAATTTGTGGTATGGAGAAAGATTGCCAGGAATTGAAACCTTTTTGGAAGGGGAAAGGAGAGGAGAGGATAATAGGGTAGTTAGAGACTGTAGGGGAGGTTTTGGGGGGAACTCTAGGGGAGGTATCGGGGGGAATTATAGGGGAGGTTTTGGGGGGGGGGGGAACTATAGGGGAGATATCGGGGGGAATTTTAGGGGAGGTATTGGGGAGAATTATAGGGGAGGTATTGGGGGGAATTATAGGGGAGGTATTGGGGAGAATTATAGGGGAGGTATCGGGGGGAATTATAGGGGAGATATTGGGGGGAATTATAGGGGAGGTATTGGGGGAAATTATAGGGGAGGTATTGGGGGGAATTATAGGAGAGGTATCGGGGGGAATTTTAGGAGTTGTCGCGACTTTGGGAGAAAGGAAGAAAGAAATGATACCGAAGAACAGAAAGAAATTCATGATCAAGGAAAGTTTGAAGCGGAGCTGGAGGAATTGGCAGATGGGAAAATAATGTTGCCAGAAGAAGAAACTAGAGAAGATAATGATTTGGAACAAGGAAATACTAAGGGAACATATAGCCAACAAATGGAAATGGATGGAAAGGAAACGAGACGACGGGAAGAGAGGGAATTGCGGAATAGAGAGATAGAATTTGGTATGATCAAAGTACAAGAGGGA